CCAATAGAATCCCCTTCGTTGTGCTTTCCAAAGGGTTCCGATTGTGATGCTTTCCTGTGGAATCCCTGTGTGGCGCTTCCCAAAAGATTTCGAGTGTGAAGCTTTCCTTTGCAATCCCGAATCCCTTTTGTGGCCCTTTCCAACTGATTCCTGCTGCGAAGCTTTCCACTGGAATCCCTTTGCGGCGCTTTCCAAAGGATTTCTGATGTGAGGGTTTCCAATGCAATCTCTTGGTAGTGCTTTCCAGAGGCTTCCCGCTGTGAGGCTTTCCAATCGAATCCCTTTGTGGCGCTTTCCACCGGATTCCTGTTGTGAGGCTTTCCAATACAATTCCTTCGTTGTGTTTTCCACCGGATTCCTGCTGTGATGCTTTTCAATAAAATCTACTGGTGGTTTGTGACGCTTTCCAATATAATCCGTTTGTGGCGCTTTCGACAGGATTCCTGCTGTGAGGTTTTTTTTTTTCTCCAATACAGTCCCCTAGTGGCGCTTTCCACCGGATTCCTGCTGTGAGGTTTTCCAATGGAATCGTTTTCTGGCGTTTTCCAGAGGATTCCGATTGTGATGTTTTCCCATGGGGACCCCTTGTGGCGCTTTCCAAAGGAATCCGATTGTGAGGCTTTCCAATAAAATCCCTGTGTGGCGCTGTCCAAAATACTCCTGTTGTGAAGCTTTCCCATGCAATCCTTTCGTTGTGCTTTCCAAAAAAATGCCTGATGTGAGGGTTTCTAATCAAACCCCGTTGTGGCGCTTTCCAGAGGATTCCGGCTGTGAGACTTTCCAATCGAATCCCTTTGTGGCGCTTTCCGGAGGATTCCGATTGTAATGCTTTCCTATGCAATTCCGGAGGATTCCGATTGTAATGCTTTCCTATGCAATCCCTTTGTGGTGCTTTCCAACGGATTCCTGCTGTGAGGTTTTCCCATCGAATCCCTTTGTGGTGTTTTCAACAGGATTCCTGTTGTGAGGCTTTCCAATACAATAATCTCTGTGCGTGGCTTTCCAGAGGATTCCTGCTGTGAGGTTTTCCCGTGAAATCCATGTGTGGCGCTTTCCAACAGATTCCGGTTGTGAGGTTTTCCCATACAATTCCCTCGTTGTGTTTTCCACAGGACTCCTGCTGTAAGGTTTTCCCATATAATCCTTTTTGTTATGTTTTCCAACGGATTCCTGCCGTGAGGTTTTCCAATCAAATCCCTTTGTGGCGCTTTCCAAAGGATTCCTGTTGTGAGGCTTTCCAATCGACTCCCTTCATGGTGTTTTCCAGAAAGGATTCCGATTGTGAGGCTTTCCAATGGAATCCCTTTGTGGCGCTTTCCAAACGATTCCTGCTGTGAGGCTTCCCACAAAGACAACAACAAAACAAACACACAAAAACCTGTCAGATAGAAATCCGTGGTCGACCGCCAGATTATATTCGAAAGTCTTTATTTTGTTTTGTTTTGTCTGTTGGGTTTCTGCTGCGTTTTCGGTTTCGTTCGACCTCCACAGAAGGATGCACATTGAAAACGCGCAAACCGCCCAGGCTTGCATCGGGTCTGGCGCCCCTCCCCACCCTCCCCCTCCCATTCGCACTTTCCGCCTGTTCCTCCTCCTCCTCCTCCTCCTCCTCCTCCTCCGCTCCCTCCTCGTCCCCATCGCACTATTCCTTCCTCCTCCTCCTCCTCCTTTTCCTCCTCCTGCCCCCCCCGCCCCCCCCCGTCCAAGCGGAAAACTCACGCGGGCGCCGCGACGCCTGCGGAGTGAACTGCGGGCAGGCCCAGTTTTTGCAGGGGGGGGGCGGTGAGGGGGAAAGCTATTTTATGCAGCTGGACTTGCTTGGCCAAGACACCAAAGAGGACACGAGACTCTTCCGACGGCAACGTGGCCCTGGACCACTCGTGGACATGCTTGCTGCGTAGGTCAGGATAGGCAGGACGAGGGGTACCCTGGATTTGGCACGGTCGACCTGCCAATCGGAGCCAGGTGCACCCGCCGCTCATGGATTCGGACTGCGGGATGGGAGGAGGAGGAGGAGGAGGAGGAGGAGGAGGAGGAGGAGGAGGAGGAGGAGGAGGAGGAGGAGGAAGAGGAGGAAGAGGAGGAGGAGGAGAGGACGAGAAGGAGGAGGCGCAGGAGGAGGAGGAGGAGGAAAAGTCTTTTGTCTGGATATGCATAATCCCTGCAAGGTGTTCCGATAATCTATCATGCTCAATGGGCTCCGCCGATGACATGGAGCATACAATCGGGTAACACTGAAGGGAGGAGGCCAGCCCGCCGGCCGACGCTCGCGCGCGCCGCAGGCTCGCTCCTTTTCCGTGAGCCAAAATGGTATAGCTGCGGAAGCAGAAGCAGTCAGCACATCGGGCAGCGCAAGCAAGGCAAAGGAGCAGGAAAGGCTAAAGGATGGTGGTGCGGAAGGGGTGCATTGACTGGAAGAGGAAGAGTAACACTGTCACAAGAAGAGGTCAGAAAAGATCAGATGGAGAAAAACGGGGTGCGGCTATCGGAGAGAAACATGTTATCACCACTGTGGGGGGCGACACCCCACAGTAGGCAAGCGACAAGCCACACCCCGAAAGAAGAAGCAAGCAAATGCAGCGAACACGACCAAGAGACAGGAAAACGTCAGCGAGAAACGGTTGCATTTGAACCGCGGCTTATTCCTCGCCCGCAGCTGGAAACACTGGCTAATGTGTCATGTGAAAGACTGGAGCGACAAACTGGCTGAAGCATGTGTGGCGGCATCCGGATTGCATCCGCACGCTAACTGGCTAATGTACTAAGGATGCCAGAGGAGGAGGGGGAGGAGAATTCCAGGGAGAATTCCAGCATTGATGACAGCGGGAATCATGAGGCAGAGGACTACTCGGCAAGTCTGGAAAGCTCGGCCTCCACCACGTGCTTTGGTGGGCCGCTCACGTTGGAGTACAGGCCCCTCTGAATTCTCGCGCGATTCTGGGCACCTTTCTGGGAACACCCAAGACAAATCGAGCACAGTGGGCGCACAGCTCGTGCCCCTGCAGGTTAAAGTCGCCCTATCACTGCCCTGACCCGCGGGTCCCTACGTGCCAACTGTTGGAGGCGAGCCCGCGCAAGCCCCAACAGCCGTCACGGGAAGAGCGCCCCAAGAGACCCCCAAGATGGTCCAAGAGGGCCCCGAATCGCCGAACGATCGGTCCACGACGCCCACGACGGCCTGAAGACGGCTGAAGAGGCGCCCAAGATGCCCCACGAGAGGCCCAAGAGGCCTCCCAAGAGGAACAACTCACCCAATGCCCTCAGGAACACATACATTTTTAGCATGGAAACGCCGATGTCGGATGTCGTGATAGGCCTTACACATGCCATCGTAGAGCAATGCAACGGACAGGAGGGCCTCCACGGGCAGAGGGAACAGGCGCCAGTAGCACAGTCTTGAAATGCTGCCCTCGATGGCACAATCGTTGGGGAGGTGAGGAGAAGCAATCGCAATCTCGTCAAACAGAGGGCACTCTATGATATGACGGATGTGGTCACCCCTAGGCGTTCGACAAGCAATGCGCGAATTGGCTGTTCCAGATCGCCCAGAGGGGCACCAGGAGTTCGTGAGAGTCCGCAGGAAGGAGGACAGAGAGCAGAGAGGGAGGTGAGGAACAAAGTGGCGGAAAATGGTGCTGACGAGAATGCCTTCCTCGTCGGCTAGCGGCACGGCTCCACTGAAGAGCTGCGCCCGTCGCCTTAAGATATCCCCGCACGGATCGTGTGCAAGCGAGGTGAGATACCATCCAACTTGGTGCTGCAAATGCCTATTCTCGGAGGGAAACGCGGGGAAGGCGGTCAAACTCGTGTAATTGTCATCCATGCCCCGGAAAAAAAAGACTCCCTCCACAGGGGATGGCTTCTCCAAGCCACGACGCACGCCCAATCATCTTCAAAGTCAGCGAACACGATCATGTTACCCTGGAAGGCTTTGGAACGACTAGCGGCTCTAAACATGGCAGCCCAGCCAGCGTGCTCGGGAACGGAAGAAAGTCAAAGGAACGGAAGGAACAGAGGAGGGAGAAAGTCAAAGGAACGGAGGGAACAGAGGAGGGAGGAGCGCATGGCGCTCCGGGGTGCGCACACGGCACGTTGCAGCGTCTCGTGCTCGATGCACAACACCATGGGACTCTCAGGGCAGAACTGGGAGACATACGTCAACACTGACAGGGCTAACATATTAGAATGGCTGAAGGTTTTCTGCAATCCTAGGCCAAGCGGGCGCTCCTGTTGCACGCCAGATTGATACTTAGTCAGGGGGGCGCGCCAAGTTTCGGACCGACACCCGTACCCGAGGACCACCCCAAGATAACGGCCATTCGAAGAAATCACAACGGACAACTCGGGGTACCTATGCCGCGCCATCTCTTGACGGAAGGCTTCGGTGGAGAGCTCACCAATGAGAACAACAACGGTCTTCCCTTCATTGAGGTCGAGGCCGAGCCCAGCGCCAGCCAAGGCCCATATCCTCAAGGACATATGGTGAGGCTCGCAACGATATCCCCGGCCGATAGGACAACGTCGTCGGCAAAAGCTCCAAACGCGGCGAACGAGGCCGGCAAGCGGGACGCGTGCATCCGGAGGGCGCAATCTATGCCAAGAGAGAAAAGGCTCCCGTAGAGCGGGCAGCCCTGCTTGATTCCCCGCCCTACTGAAAAGCCAATCCCAACGCATCCCCATATACCTCATTTCAATCCAGATGTCCCGGTAGAGCGCCCGGATTGCCTCGATCACGTACGCGGGAACCTCCGTGACCTCCGGAACCCAGGAGTAGGAGGAGGAGGCGGGGGAGGAGGAGGAGGAGGCGGAGGAGGGGGATGGGATCAGGGGGGGGATCAGGAGCACGAGAGGGCGCGGAGCAGGGGAAGCGAGGGCGGGGCCAGGTGGAGGCACACGGTGCGAAGGAGGGGGGCCATGGCCTGAAGCCACCGGCGGGGGGAGAGAGTGCGGGGCGGCCTCGACAGGAGAGGGCGCGAGCGCGAGTGCCGACGGGAAAGCTCCTGCAGTGCCCGGAAGCTCGCGTCGTGCGCCAGGAGGTGGCTTTTCCCGCTCCCGGGAGGCCCGACCTGGATGGGCACGGCGGCAGGACGGACACCCGGGCACCACTGGGAGATGGAGCACGTCCTCCTCCCCCCCTCCTCCCCCTCCTCCCTCGTTCTCATCCTCCTCCTCCTCCTCCTCCTCATCATCATCCACTGTCCCCGCCGCCTCCTCCTTGTCCCTCTCCTCGTCCCCATTGCTCTGCTCACCGCCCCCCGCCCTGCCCCTCCTCCTCCTCCTCCTCCTCCTCCTCCTCCTCCTCCTCCTCCTCCTCCTCCTCCATTCCTTTTCCTTTTTAAATGACTTCTCCCTGTCGCACCCCGAGGTTGGTCGAAAGGCGGGCCGGGCGTTTCGCGTGAGACTTCCTCACCGCTTATGACCCTGAAGCTTAAACATTGGCGACGGTTTCGCAAATGGAGAGCGGGTCGTTTTCAAAATGTGGCTATCGCCTTAACGCCACGCACATGCGTTCAAACTATCCTGGCGAAGGACCCAACCATATGCAGTTGTGGATACCGCAATAGTGAATATGTTCTTCGGTGAAGCTCCCTATGGGGCCACGAAGCGCTGCACTGGGTGGGGGGGAACGCATCCTGGCGGTAGCACTGGGGCCGTCGGTGGAGCTAGCTATGGGGCCAAGAAGCGCTGCACTGGTTTGGGGGGACGCATGCGGGCGGTAGCACCGAGGCATTCGGTGAAGCTCCCTATTGGGCCACGAAGCGCTGTATTGGGTGGGTGGGGACGCATGCGGGCGGTAGCACTGGGGCCGTCGGTGGAGCTCCCTACGGCGCCACGAAACGCTGTACTGGGTGGGGGGAACCATGCGGACAGTAACGCTGGGACCTTCGGTGGGGCTCCCTATGGGGCAACAAAAACGCTGTACTGGGTACGTGAAAATGCCACATTTGGTGTGTGCGACGCATGCGGGCGGTCCCACTGGGGGCTTCGGTGGAGCTCCATATGGGGCCACGAAGCGCTGTACTGGGTGGGTGAACATGTAAAATCGAGCGTGTAGGGCGCATGCGGGCGGTTCCACTTGGGGCTTCGGTGGACTCTCTATGGAGCCACGAAGCGCTGTACTGGGTGGGCGAAAATGCAAAATTGGGTTTCCGGGACGCATGCGGACGGTCCCACAGGGGGCTTCGGTGGAGTCCCCTATGGGCCACGAAACGCCGTACTGGGTGGGTGAGAATGCCAAATTGCGTGTGTGGGGCGCATGCGGACGGTCCCACTGGGGGCTTCGGTGGAGCTCCCTATGGGGACACGAAGCGATGTACTGAGTGGGTGAAAATGCCTCATTGCGGACGGTCCCACTGGGGGCTTCGGTGGAGCTCCCTATGGGGCCACGAAACGTTGTACTGGGTATGTGGAAATGCCAAATTGAGCTTCAGTGACGCATGCGGACGGTCCCACTAGGAGCTTCGGTGGAGCTCTCTATGGGGCCACGAAGTGCTGTAGAGTGAAAATGCAAAATTGCGCGTGTGGGACGCATGCGAGCGGTCCCACTGTAAGCTTCGGTGGAGCTCTCTATGGGGCCACGAAGCGCTGTACTGGGTGGGTGAAAATGCAAAATTGGGCTTCCGGGGCGCATGCGGACGGTCCCACTGGGGGCTTCGGTGGAGCTCCCAATGGGACCACGACGCGCTGTACTGGGTGTGCGGGACGCATGCGGACGGTCCCACAGGGGGCTTCGGTGGAGTCCCCTATGGGCCACGAAACGCCGTACTGGGTGGGTGAGAATGCCAAATTGCGTGTGTGGGACGCATGCGGACGGTCCCACTGGGGGCTTCGGTGGAGCTCCCTATGGGGACACGAAGCGATGTACTGAGTGGGTGAAAATGCCTCATTGCGGACGGTCCCACTGGGGGCTTCGGTGGAGCTCCCTATGGGGCCACGAAACGTTGTACTGGGTATGTGGAAATGCCAAATTGAGCTTCAGTGACGCATGCGGACGGTCCCACTAGGAGCTTCGGTGGAGCTCTCTATGGGGCCACGAAGTGCTGTAGAGTGAAAATGCAAAATTGCGCGTGTGGGACGCATGCGAGCGGTCCCACTGTGAGCTTCGGTGGAGCTCTCTATGGGGCCACGAAGCGCTGTACTGGGTGGGTGAAAATGCAAAATTGGGCTTCCGGGGCGCATGCGGACGGTCCCACTGGGGGCTTCGGTGGAGCTCCCAATGGGACCACGACGCGCTGTACTGGGTGTGCGGGACGCATGCGGACGGTCCCACTGGGGATCTTCGGTGGGGCTACCTATGGGGCCACGAAGCGCTGTAGTGGGTGTGCGGGGCGCATGCGGACGGTAGCACTGTGACCTTCGGTGGGGCTCCCTATGGGGCGACGAAGCGCTGTACTGGGTGTGTGGGACGCATGCGGACGGTCCCACTGGGGGCTTCGGTGGGGCTCCCTACGGGACCACGAAACCTGTGAGGGGTGTGCTGAAACGGGTGATGATGATGATGATGATGATGATGCTGATGATGCTGGTGATGATGATGATGATGATGATGATGATGATGATGATGATGATGATGATGATGATGATGATGATTATGATGATGATGATGATGATGACGACGGTGATGGAGGAGGGAGGAGTGGGAGGAGGAGGAGGAGGAAGAGAAAAACGCGGGGACCGTTATTTCAAAACGAGGAACCAACTCCACAGGATGGTTGGGAGCACGTGCATGAACTTCACGGATTGAGGGCGGGTGGTTTTCGATGTGTGGCTCTCGCCTTTGCGCCGCGCACACTCGTCCTAAACATGTGCAAGGATGCCACGGGTTGAGGGTGGCTCTTTTCAAAATGTGGCTCTCGTCTAAGCGTCGCGCACATTCGTTTTAAACATGTGCAAGAGCTTCACTGGCTGAGGGTGGCTCTTTTCTCGAAATGTGGCTCTCGCCTTCGCACCGCGTACATTCCTTTTTGGTTGATGCAACACTTTCACGTATTCCCGTGGTCAACGAACCCGACATGGTTTTTAGAAAAGACTCATCAGGATTATTGGGGCGCAGCAATGACGTTGATTCGCGGTGTTAGGATCACAGAAATAGCGCTCTGGCGCGATTCAGGATCGTCAAGACGCAGCAAAAAGGTTGACCCGTGGAGTCCCGATAATGATGTTTTGGCATGCTTCAAGGTCTTCAAACGGTTGTCTTCCAACGAGACAGTTCCCCTTGTGGAAATGAACTTTTGTAGGGGCCTATGAAGAGCGAGCTTGGAGGGAGGGTTTATGTCAACATCGTTGATGACTCTTGGGTTTACACTGGTCCTCCTTCTCCTCCTCCATCCCCTCCTTCCTCCCTCGTTCCATTCCCTCCTCCTCCTCCTCCGTGCGTCATCCGTCCTCGTCCTCGTCCACCCGCACCCTGGCAGTCGAGACCAGGGTATTACCCACCGCAGCGACGAATCCAACGACAAAAGTACAGGCAATGTGGGCAAATCAGCAATGGACAGACTTGAACCTGTCGCGCTATCATACCGCCAATTACCAACAGCCTTTAACGTGCGTGCGTCCGCGGCCGTACGTAGCTTGCGGAACGGTATGACAGCCTACTGGCTGGTCAGCCATCACGCCGATCTACTGCAATATGTAGCTGGTCCGTATTTGTCCCTCTTCGCGCATGGAGGCGTGGTAGAATGCGAAGTGCTGTCTGGTAGGGTCTCTGTAGATCGCATGAGCCCCCCCAACACCCCTCGCCATAACTTGTTGCATACATCTTTCCTCCCTCCCGGGGGCTTTCTGGGCGGCACAACGCTTCCCTGGGGCTCTCCAAGTCTCCTCAAGGCTTCGAAGACGGCTCAGGAAGGCCAGCAAGGATTTCCAAACGGCCCAACATTGCTTCAAGGGACAGCCCCACGATCATCCGAAGACGAGGCGTCAAAAGGTGTCCCAATGTGCTTCCAAGGCACCGAAGAGGAAGGCGAGACAACCAGTACACCCCGCAGGGATGATACCACTGGGTAAGCCATGAGCCTTTTGGATGTCAGGGCCTCCCTGGGCCTCTCGATTCAAGGTTGTTCCAAGAGGACAGCATCGCCAAAGGGAAACACACTTGTTTACGCCTGCGACTAGGCAGAGTCACTGCGCTGGCGATGGAAGCGAAACGGGGCAGAAGTTAGGCGAATTCTGCCATCATGCAGGAGGGGGGGGAGGAAGACGATAGAAAAAAGGGAAGCACACACAATTCAATGAGGGCTGGGATGACCACCCCGACGGCACAAGACAGCTTTAAGAGGGCCTGAGAGTGTCCCAGGAGGGACCCATGACAACCAAAGAGAACCCCAACCTCAAACGCCTCCCGCGACCTGCCCCAGCAACCCTCGGGAGTGCCGAGAGGGGCCCAAGACGGTCCCACGACGGCCCAGGAAGACCCATAAAAGTCCCTCAAGGAATAGAGGCGGGACTCACACAGGGTGCTGCGCTGTCGCGCGGGTGGATCTTACCGCATGCAGCTGGATGAAGCTGAAGGACCCTTCATGACCTGGTACGGATGAAGACATTCCTGGTGGTCCGCTGTGGCCCCACCCGGCGTGCTCATCCTCATCCTGCTCATCGTCGTACTTCCTCCATGCACATGTAGCTATCCCTCTTGCTCTTCCCCCTCACGATTCCCGTGCGTCCTCCACCCCGTCCCCCCCGCCATTATCCTACTCCTCGACCTCCTCCTCTTCCTCCTTCTCCTCCACCTCCTCCTGCATGCTGCCCCTTCCCCCTGTCCGTAGAAGAAAGAACAACGGCATGAACAGAAACTGTTGGAACTCCGCGCGGGTTTCCTGGATCCGCTTGAACCCTCTCCCTGGCGCGCGGAGCGCGTCAGAGGCGGGGTCCCGAGGCGCCGCCAGCGGGTCCCAAAGCCGATCCAGAACATCCGCGCGCAGCCCCAATATTTCTGCTGTGCGGCTCTATATTTCTCGATTCCTCCTTTGCTCCCTCCTCCTCGCCCCCCTTCCGCCTGTCTCCCCATTTCCTCCTCGCCACCCTCCTGGTCCTCCTTCTCCTCCGCATCCTCCTGCCCCATTCCTCCTCTTCCCCCATGTCTGGGGGAACCAGAAGGTACCGATACCGCTACTCCGCAGACCTCTCCCTGGGCGCGTTCTGACCCGAATCTCGAGGCGAATCCAGCCGTGGCGACGAAGGCCTCCTGGGAGGCCCCAAGCGGCGAGCACGAGGTGTAAGGGTAGCGGCATGCGTACCCTGGAGCGCTCCAGGGCCTGCTCTTGAACATGAACATACCGTAGACGGATCTACCTGTTCTCCGACCTTGTACTGCGTCGAACGCGACGGCCGAATCGTCTATAAACGAATCCACCCCGACTGCCCACAGACGCGTGTGGCTAGAAAGTGGGAGCAGTAATCATTTGCCGGATGCCCCAAATACTCATCTTCTGGAAGCAGGTCGACTTTGCCCTCCGACGGGCATCGGCGATGCATCGACGTCGGGAGTGCATCGGCGCAGCCGACGCGGCGAAAATCGGGCTCCACATCAGGCCGCATCGCCGATGCACCGGCGATGCGGCGCGACCCTCCGACCCCATCTGCTCCGACCCCGCCGCTGGGGGGCGCGGCCGCGAGGACGGCGACGGGCGCCCCCGCGCCGGCAGACGGCTCGCCCAGCTCCTGAGAGGGCCACGGCACGGCTCGCACCGCCGCCGTCGCCGTCGCCGTCGTCGTCGTCGTCGTCCGCGTCGTCGTCCTTGGGCGCACCCCCGAGCCAGGAGACGGCGCGCCGAGCTCAGGTGCGAGAGCCACACCACGACTCGCACCGCTGCCGTCAATGACGGCTGGCGGCGCGCACAGTGGGGTGGCGCGAGGTGGGCGGCCTTCTGAGAAGGCTGGGGAGCTTTTGAGAAGGCGGGGGCCATCTCAGAAGGCCTCCCTGCTTCCAAGTAGCCTTCTCAGAAGCCTCCAGGCCCGCCCGAGAAGGCCCATGCCTTGAAAGCAGCGCGCCGCCTTCTGAGAAAGCCGCCCCCCTCGCGCCAATCCCTTGTGCGCGCTCAGCTCCTGGGAGAGTCACGGATCGGCTCGTACCGCCGCGGTCAGTGGCAGGACCAGACAGCATCGAATCTAGAAATCTGGGTCGAATCGAAACCTGCGTCTTCTGTGGCAGCTCATGGAGACCTTCCAAGCCATCTTGTTGGCTCTTGCGAATCGACGCTAGTCGACGCTAGTCGATGCTAAATCCACGCTGATCGACGCTATTCGACGCTAATCGGCGCTTTCTCCTCCACTACCAGACGCTAATCGACGCTAATGCACTCTGAAGACAAAACTACGAAAATATACAAAGATCGGTCAGCACCGAAACGGGAAATCGGATCGGATAAGAATGTGCGTCGGACCCAAGACCACCTCGAGTCGTGCCGAACACACGACGACTTTTTTTCGCTCTGTTCGGCCTCTAGTATCAAAAGCCGGTCCCAGGGAATAGTTCAAGACCTCTGGGGGTCGACGTCATGAAAACAACATGACGGCAGGGTCTGGTGATTGGGCTACATCGGCACGGCGTCGACATCGAATCGGATAGGCTGTGTAAACATGCACAACGACGCCCATGCAAGAATCGGGCCGCATCGGATCCCTGGACTATCGGAATCGGATCGGATCGAGTCGGCCGGAATCGATATTGAATCGGATCGCAATGCTAGGAGGCCCAGAAATGCATGGACCCTGGGTGGTGGTGATCGCCGCATCCGCTGGAGGAGGAGCATGGGGGCTCGGAAGGAGGAGGACCAAGACCTCCGACGTATGGGAAAAATCAAAACGGATATCTGTCGCAATCTTCGGCCTCTGGGGGCCCTCGCCAGGCCCCGGGGGACCGTCAACGAACGCTCCAAGACAACAAACGGAACTCGTGAGGAGGAGCATGGGATCTCGGAAAAATGAATACACAACCCTCCAACGCACCAGAAAAATCAAAAAGCGGGCATCTGTCGCCGTTTTTCGGCCTCTGGGGGCCCTCGCCGGGCCACGGGGGACCGTGAAAGAACACTCCGGGACGAAAAGCGGGTCCGCGTTTTCAGTAGTCCAGAGCACCGGGAGCCCCGTGTGAGGAAAAGATCAGGAGACATCGGAGGTCTGGGGGGGAGGGCGAGGATGGGGCGGACGAAACGGGGGATGGAGAAGGGGACCATGTGATGTTGCGCAGCTATTTTGGAGCAGGTGGCGCTCATCGCGCCCTAGGCCCCCTCTTTTCGAGAGCTCGCTGGTAGTTCCAGCGGGGCCTGCCAACAGCCAGAGATCAGCAGAGGTTGGAGAAACGAGATTGCCCTTGCCCATCATCGAGAATGGGGCGGACGAAACTTACAGGCGAAGAACGGTCTAACATAGAAATTTCCGCCGTCGGGGACGCGTGCCCCCTGGCGACTGGAAAGTTTATACCTATACCCCTACGCCCTACGTAGCACCGCAGGGGTACAAACTTTCCAGCCACCCTGGGCCAGGAGTCCCCTACGACGAGCTGTGGAGCGAACGTGAGCTGCCCCATGTGTCTGGAGTACGCAGCCCAAGTGCGGGTAGGGTACTCCAATCGCTGCAAGGCTGTGGAAGCGCTCCACGCCCGTGAGCGGTCGAAGGCGCTCCGGCAGCGGCGCGCAGAGGCAGCGAGGGAACTGCCCCCGTGGAACGCGCTCCGCGCAGACGTCATAGCCGTTGTAGCTCCATGGCGCAGTCGGTACCAGAGCAAACTGCCCCGCTGTAAACTCCGTGTGATGGTGGGGGCACCGCGCACAAGCAAGAGCACGCTGGCGCGCGTCCACCGGGCGGGACGCCCCTCACCCAAACCGTGCAGAGTGCGCAATCGCCAGACTTACACGGGCACGACTCGGCCATTCACGGCTACATTATATCTGGCAGCGTAAAAAAACATGGACTTTGTGCTCCATCGCAGGCCTGCTTCCAAACGAGCGACGACATACACACAGACACACACACACACACACAAACACACACACACAGAGACGCACACGCACACGCACACGCGGACACACACACACACACACACGCACACACACAAACACACAAACACACACACACACACGCACGCATATACTGGGAGAGCTCACACGGGATGCATTTGCACGCAGTCCAGCTGCGGAGGGTACTACTTATCATCACGGTCGATGAATGAATGCCCGCTGGAATCGGGAAGAGCCTGCGACCCGTGAAAACGGCACCCTCGTCTTCTCGAGTGGGCCATCGTGGATCACCCACATCGGATATCCAAGTGTGCAGTGGTCCGCCACCGTGCCTCTAGCACGAAGTGGAGCGCCCCAAGGCTCATGCAGCACTGAGAAGCGGAGACTGTGCTGCTGCTGCAGCCAGAATTGAACGTCTTTCAGGGCCTGGACCAGCCGTCTCCCAGGCCGTCTTGGGCCGTCCTGGGGTTTCCTGGGCTGGCGCCCATGAGTTCGGGGGTTTCCTGCAGGTCTTCCGAACGCTGTGACCGCCCAACACGGTCCACGAGAGCCCCGACTCGCTGAAACATGTGACCGCCCAACACGGTCCCCAGACACCTCCAAGACGGCCCCAGAGGCCTCCAACAGCACCCCCACGAGGGCCCCCCAAAGCCAAAATCATGGATGTTCGTTCAGTCTTTGCCGGATTTTGGCGTTCTCGCGTTTTCGGCCCAACAGGCCTTCAAAAGGGCCCGGCATATGTCCTTGCTTTCGAATGATCGTGATGGCAAAGGATTGGTCATGTTAAAAAACTATCCCGGCAAAGCAACCTAACAGCGATGTGTTTAAGCATACCTGGAAGCATTCCCCATACGATTCAGGTGAGAATCCAGTTGTAGAATTCTGCTGTTCTCGCAGTCGCAGTCGCATTCGCAATGACAGTCGCAGTGGCAACGGCCTTCGGATCCAATGGAATCCTAAGGATTCCTAGGGATTCCTAAGGCATCCTTGGGCATCCTTAGGAATCCATAGGAATCCTCAGGAAACCTTAGGAATCCTGATGCCTAGGGATTCCTAGGGATTCCTAACGATTCCTAGGGAATCCTAAGGATTCCTGAGGATGCTTAACTATGCCTACGGATTCCTAAGGATGCCTACGGATTCCTAAGGATTCCTATGGATTCCTAAAGATTCCTATGGATTCCTACGGATGCCTCAGCCTGCCTCAGTTTCAGCCTCAGCCTCAGCCTGCCTCGGCTTGCCTCAGCCTCAGCCTCAGCCTGCCTCGGCCTCAGCCTCAGCCTGCCTCAGCCTCAGCCTCAGCCTGCCTCGGCCTCAGCCTGCGTCAGCCTCAGCCTCAGCCTGCCTCAGCCTCAGCCTGCCTCAGCCTCAGCCTCAGCCTCAGCCTCAGCCTGCCTCGGCCTCAGCCTCAGCCTCAGCCTGCCTCGGCCTCAGCCTGCCTCGGCCTCAGCCTGCCTCAACCCTCCCTCCTCCCCCCCTCCCCTCCCCACCCCCCCATTCAGCCTCACCTTGTCTCAGCTTCGGCCTGCCTCGGCCTCATCCTCAGCCTCGCCTCAGTCTCAGCCTCAGCCTGTCTCGGCCTGAGCCTGCCTCGGCCTCAGCCTCAGCCTGCCTCAGCCTCAGCCTGCCTCAGCCTCAGCCTGCCTCAGCCTCAGCCTGCCTCAGCCTCATCAGCATCAGCCTCAGCCTCAGCCTCAGCCTCCTGCCTCGGCCTCAGCCTCAGCCTGCCTCGGCCTCAGCCTCAGCCTCAGCCTGCCTCAGCCTCAGCCTCAGCCTGCCTCAGCCTCAGCCTGCCTCAGCCTCAGCCTCTCAGCCTCAGTCTGCATCAGCCTCAGCCTCAGCCTCAGCCTGCCTCAGCCTCAGCCTGAGCCTGCCTCAGCCGCAGCTTGCCTCAGCCTCAGCCGCAGCATTAGCCTCAGCCTCAGCCTGCCTAAGCTTCAGACTCAGCCTCAGCCTGCCTCGGCTTGCCTCAGCCTCAGCCTCAGCCTGCCTCGGCCTCAGCCTCAGCCTCAGCCTGCCTCAGCCTCATGGTCAGCCTCTAAGCCTCAGTCTGCATCAGCCTCAGCCTCAGCCTCAGCCTGCCTCAGCCTCAGCCTGAGCCTGCCTCAGCCTCAGCCTGCCTCAGCCTCAGCCTCAGCCTGTCGGCCTCAGCCTGCGTCAGCCTCAGCCTCAGCCTGCCTCAGCCTCAGCCTGCCTCAGCCTCAGCCTCAGCCTCAGCCTGCCTCGGCCTCAGCCTCAGCCTGCCTCGGCCTCAGCCTGCCTCACCTCGGGCATTCAAAATATGGCACAGGACTGGTGTTCTGGGAACACGAAAATCACGAAGTGACCCACAGTTGGCTCCGGGTATTCAAAATGTGGCCTGGGAATGGTGTTCTGGGAACACGAAGAACACGAAGTGGCCTACAGTTGGCTCCGGGCATTCAAAATGTGGCCTTGGAATGGTGTTCTGGGAACACGAAGAACACGAAGTGGCCTACAGTTGGCTCCGGGCATTCAAAATGTGGCCTTGGAATGGTGTTCTGGGAACACGAAGAACACGAAGTGGCCTACAGTTGGCTCCGGGCATTCAAAATGTGGCCTGGGAATGGTGTTCTGGGAACACGAAGAACACGAAGTGGCCTACAGTTGGCTCCGGGCATTCAAAATGTAGCCTGGGAATGGTGTTCTGGGGAGTCCCCGGATCCTCCCCGGCACCCGCCCAGA